CGACTCGTCGGCCGATTCTCGCTCCGGATTGGCGATGGACGCGTCGCCGGGGTGTGAGGAGCAGGGGGTAGCGTTTGAAAGCCGCGTATACGCCGCGACACGACCCGGCTGCGGCGACGGTGGCGGTGGAGGCCTACGCGGGCGCCGCGAGAGAGACGCTCCTCAGTTGTGTCAAGCTGGGCGATCGAGTAGGACGCTCTTTAATCGTTCCCACCTCCGAGTTACTCTCTCACGTACACACACACACACACTCTCTCCGCCTCTTTCTCTCTCTCTCTCACTCTCTCTCTCTCACTCTCTCTCTCACACCCACCCACACGTACACGCACACAGACAACCACACACACAATCTCCTTCTCTCTTTCCAGTCCTGTCTTGGGGTCTTCCGCGAGCCACTTCACACAGTACCGGCACACACGTGCACACAGACACACACGCGGCGCTCTCTCGCTCTCTTCCTCTCTCTCTTTCTTTCTCTCTATCTCTCTTGGCTCTTTCTCTCTACCTTCCTCTGTCTCTCTATCTCTCTCTTCTATCTCTTTCTCTCTCTTTCTCTGTTATTCTCCACACCTTCTCCGTTTTCTTCAGTATTCTTTTGTGTCCCTCTATACTGTCGTCTCGCCGGTATCCGGACACACCAGAGAGCCGTCGATCGCCCGTAGTCCAATTCCGCCACTCTCTCTGTTTACCTGTACCCGTTCCGCGTCGGTGGTGGGCCCCACACGCGCGCGTGCTACTACTACTGCTACTGCTACCCGCCTCGCAATCCACCCTCACAGACTGCTTCGGTGGCGATAGAGATAGTCCGTGGCAAGTGGAGAGACCCGTGGTTCTCCGCCGATGGAGAGACCGTGAACGCTGCTCCGTCGCCGACCCGGAGAGAGAGAGAGAGAGAAAACGAAAGAAAGATAGAAAGAACACGCAACACAGCCGGGCCAGCACACGTGTGTGACAACAACACCTGTGTGTCTGTGCGCGACCACCCGCGCTCGCTTTCCGGAAGCCCGAGGAGAGACACTCTCCCGGAGAGTCGAACCGAATACCAGCACCAGCGGCAGCCAGCATCGTCTCTCTCTCTCTATCGCTCTCTCTCTATGCATGCACAACAGCTGGGCTGCTCTCTCTGATCACAGTCTCATTGTCCTCCTCCTGTCCGACCGTGTGTGTGTGTCTGTGTGTGTCGAACGCGCGAGCCTCTGTCCTCGCGAGCAGTGAGAGGGAACCAGTCGGCCGGCTGTCACCGGAGAGCTTTGCTACCCTGAACTCGGACGGGTTCAAGGTCATCCTCGTCGTCGTCGTCGTCGTCGCCGTCATCGTCGTCGTCGTCGTCGTTGTCGTCGTCTTCGTCGTCGTCGTTGTCGTCGTTGTGCTACGCTGTGCGAGAAGGCCGTTGATAAAGTTGTATCAAGAGAAAGAGAGAGAGAGAGTGAGAGAGGGAAGGAGGGAGAGAGGAAGAAAGAGGAAAATAGAGAGGGAAAGGAAGAAGAGAGAGGGTATATAGAGCAGGAGGATCTTAAAGCTGATCGCCGGAGAGTGGTGGAAGGAGAAGTGGAGGGAAGACGCGAGGCCGATCCGAGGGTCCCAGAGATTTATATTTTTGTCGCGCGGCGGGCCGCGTCCTCGTCGGGGCTGAGAGAGAAAGAGAGAAAGAGAGCTGTCATTCGCGGTCGTTCGGACGTTAGACCCCGAAGAGGGTACGCGATCGTAGATCCTAGAGATCGAAGAACCTAGAGATCGAAGATCCCAGTGACCGAAAATTCTGGGTGGAAGATCCTAGGTGTCGAAGGCGATCCGCCGGTCGTCCCCTCGATAAAATCCCCCTCCCCCAACCCCCAATTATATATTTAAAATCTCGCGCGTAAGTATTAGGATCGTAGAGAATCTCGTTCGTAAGTATATAAGCAAACAGAGAAGGTCGCGCGTGAATCATGAGCGACTGATCGAACTAAAGAGAATCGCGTCAAGACAATCAAGCACAGTAGTAGGGTTGGTCGAGGAGAGAAAGCGAGAGAGAACGAGAGTGAGAGAAAGAGAGATAGAAAGAGAGAGAGAGAAAGTGAGAGTGAAAGAAATCCCCTCCCGAGGTGAGAAATCAATCAATCAATCGAGCGAATTAATCGGGAATAAGAGAATCAAGTTTCGTGTCTTCATGTGATCTACAGCCTCTGTACCGAATCTTACGTGTGTACACAGTCTATACCTAACATAGATATATATATGTACATATACCTCTACAAACACACATATATATATAAATCTATATATATATTTAAATATATACATATATATTTACATACGACATATTATATATATTTACACTTCTATACATAACATTTATATGTATACACCCCTCGCACATATCCGATCGACGGGCTACGATCCACGCTGCACGATCGAGCGTTTATCCTGGCCCGTTTAGGATCGTCTCTTCCCCGTTCAGCCCCCCGACCAGTGGGGCGTTCTCTTGTCAATCTTCGTGACAATCATTTTCAGCTAGCTCTCGGTAGCGTATTTCGACCTAGGGAATTTTTCTCGCGTTCCGACGTTTCTAAGGAGGATTAACAGAGGAGGGATATTAAAGGAGCAAGATAAACGAAAAATAAAAAAAACAAGTAATATCACGTAACGTAACCTACGACGTTTCAATTAACGTACGAGCGAGCGAGCGAGCGAGCGAGCGTCTTCGCCACTCTACAACCCCCCGCCCCCCCTCCAGCGAGCGC